AGCCGCATTGGCGGCAAAGCAAAAACCCCACCTAGCACACCAATAACTAAGCCCTACATGACTGGGAACCGCTGGGGTTTTCAAGTTAACTGTGAAGCGAAGGTTCTGAGCGGGTAGTGATTCATTGCAGTCTTCCCTTCTTCATGGTTCTTCTGCAACCAGCGGTGGAGTGATGGGAAGGTGGCAAAGGCGACCTGGGATATCTCTGCGGCGCAGATCTCGGCATTCGGGCCCGCGGGGAGTGGTGGGGAGCGTTGGGGTCCTTTTCGGGTTTGAGCGCTAGATTCGCTCGTTCTGAATTAGGGTCTTCCTTCCTGCCTTTGCCGGAATACGGGATCAACTGTGATGTACATCGAGTGCCGCAAAGAGGCTCAGAATAGAGCAAGCCTGCCTTTCGAGAGCTTGGGTTGGAAGTTTGGGGCTTGGAGCTGCTAAGCTTTATTATGGATTGCCACTTAAGCGCCTAAAGCTGCGGGCGGTTTGGGAATTTAGTCATAAAGCCGGATCGGACATTGCTCAAATGCTCTCGATAAGACACCGCAGAGACCACGGAGCTTTTGGAAACGCTCCCCGCCCTCCCATGTTGATTTGGTTTCAACGCCAGGCCCTGTAGATCTTAAACTCTGGGCCCCTAAATCCTCAATCCCCACCCAGAACTCAAAGCCCTCTGTCCTAAGGCCTCTATGATCTATCCTATAAGTCCTTGGTTCCCAATTTCGCATCCAAAAACTCCGAACCCTGGGACCATCAGTCGAGCCTACGGTAGGTTCTCGGTTTGGTTCCGATCTAGTCAAGGCTTTCAGGTTAAGGTAGCCAATGATGTCCTAGAAGTAGACCTGTCAAGCCTAAACCAATCGTGCAGACCCCACCTTGCTCCAGGCTTCTCTTTAAGGTTTTGCTTTGGGGTTTTAGGGTTGTAGGGTGTTGCACTGTTTGATTGCCCTTCCCATGCCAGTGATGCGGATGCACCTGGTGATGCCGCGAAGCATAGAGAGGCCGAAGGGGGTTTTGCGTGGGTTAGCAAGTTGGGTTCGGAAAATTTAAATATCGGTTTTGGACCTGTAGGGCTCGTAAAGGGATGCGTGGGGTGTGCGGTGTCGCATGCGCAGCCGGATTGCTTGAGAGTAGGACTTCACATTCGGTTGTCACGCAGCCTAGGCCTTGAAGACTTTAGCTGTTTTAGTTTCGTATTAAAGCTGTAAAGACTAGTTTCTCATTGAAGTCGTAAAGACTACTTACTTTCTTATTAAGGCCGTAGTAAAGACTAGCTTCTTGAGTTGTTGCAAGCTGTTTGCTGTTTGTTGGCTCAAGCCCTGAACGTCTAACACTGAAGCTGCAAGACCAAGCCGCTAAAGCCCTGCCTGTGAGTAGAAGCTTGCGTGAGCCTCTTACACTTGCAGCCTAAACTTAAGCCTAAATCCCAGTCTCAAATCTTATAGACCCTAAACTTAAACTAAAACCCTAACCCTAAACTCGCGCCCTGCACCCTGTAAGACTTCTTTGCATCACGGCTTCTCGGATTTTTGCCGAGTCTTTCCGCGGGCAGCTTTGGGTGTGTTATTTATTGCCTGACGCCCCGCCATGCACATTAGTCTTGATGTATGCCTGATAAGTGGCAGATCTGTCGCTTTGGAGGTTGAGAGCAGTGCCTCTTTGGAGGACGTCAGACAACTTGCTCAGAATAATCTGGGAGCTGGTCGGGGAAGGCTTCTCAACTCTGCCGGAGATGTCTTGGACGGGGTGGCAACAATAGAGCAGACGAGCTTGCAGAGCGGTGATGTTCTGACCCTGCATGTCGGGCAGGTCCAGATTATCGCGTCGAAAATCGACTCTTATTCCGCTTATTCTTTTTCCTACCAGGACGGTGCAGCGTTTGCTGCCCTACTGGGTGATGGGTCTGCGGTGACTTGGGGACATTATCTTAATGGAGGAGACAGCAGAGCAGTTCAAGATCAGCTGAAGAACGTTCAGCGGATCCAGTCGTCTTTCGGAGCTTTCGCTGCAATTCGCAGCGATGGGTCTGTCGTAACTTGGGGCAACTCTCATTATGGTGGTGACTGCAAAGCAGTGCAAGATCGGTTGTGCTCCGTCCGGCAAATCCAAGCTTCCTTCGGAGCTTTCGCTGCCGTGCTCAGCGACGGAGGCGTCGTGACCTGGGGCGCTTCTGATTTCGGTGCCGAGAGCAGTGCTGTGCAGCATGAACTGACGAATGTGCAGCGGATACAGGCTTCTCACTCAGCTTTTGCGGCCATTCTGGGCGATGGAACTGTGTCAACATGGGGCGATTCAGACTATGGCGGCGACAGTAGCTCTGTGCAAGAACAGTTGAAGACTGTGCAGCAGATCCAAGCAACGGCTTCTGCCTTTGCTGCAATTCTTGAGGACGGGTCTGTGGTGACATGGGGCGATGATGGCTTTGGTGGCAACAGCAGTGTCGTGCAGGATCAGCTCAGAGAGGTGCACCAAATCCAAGCGTCTGCCTACGCCTTCGCCGCCCTCCTCTACGACGGCTCCGTCGTGACGTGGGGTGATGCTGACTCTGGTGGAGACAGTAGCGAGGTCCAGGCGCGTTTAATCAATGTGCAACAGATCCAGGCCTGTGACGAAGCCTTTGCTGCTCTCTTGGGCGACGGATCTGTCGTAACCTGGGGCAGTTCTCGCGATGGCGGTGACAGCAGCGAAGTACAGGATCGGCTCAAGGGGGTACTGCGGATCCAGGCATCCTCATATGCCTTCGCTGCGATCCTGGGCGATGCGTCTGTGGTGAGCTGGGGTCGGGCACACTGTGGGGGTGACAGCAGTGCTGTGCAAGATCGACTGAAGAATGTTCAGCACATCCAAGCCTCCTGCGGTGCCTTCGCCGCACTCCTCGCAGATGGATCGGTCGTGACCTGGGGCTTTGCCAGTGATGGCGGCGACAGTAGCGCGGTCCAAGCTCCTTGTCTCGAAATCGAAATCTTTGTCACATGCATACATACACACACCGATAGATAAATACATATACATATACATATATACATATATATGTATGTATGTATGTATGTATGTATGTATGTATATATATATATATATATATATATCTGTATATATATATATGCATGTATGTGTGTGTGTATATATATATATATATATGTATGTATATATATATACATATATATATATATATATATATATATATATATATATATATACATTTACACATGTACATGCATGTCGCTGGTTCTCCCTTGTTGTTTCAATGCGAACGAATTGAGGATCAGCTGAAGAACGTGGAGCGCATCGAGGGATCTTTTGGAGCCTTCGCTGCGGTTCTTTGCGACAGTACCGTGGTGACCTGGGGCGATTCGGACTCTGGTGGTGACTGGGTGTTCCTTAGGAAAGAACTTTTGATTTGTCTTTTTGCCGGATTTCAGGCGGATGTATCCATCATGTCTTTTTATTTTGGGTCTTGCAGGTGACAGCACCTCTGTGCGAGAGAAGCTCAAAGCCTGCGGCTCTGAAGACCCTGCCGCAACTGGCCCCGGCGTCCGATTGAAAGTTTTGCCTTCGGAGACATGGCCACCCAAAGCCTCAAACTCCAAACCGAAGCCCCAAAGCCCTAGATCCTAAACCCTAAACCGGAGTCTCAACCCTAAACCCGAAGCCCTATTCTTCCATCGCGATATTCAGGCCTACGGGCCGCATGATATGTAAGGCTCGAACCTCAAATCCATGGCCACGGCTTGTAGGGCAGGGTTTAGGCTTTAGGGTTTAGAGCTTGGGGACTTCGGTTCAGGGTTCCGGGTTTAGGTTTTACGGTTTAGGTTTTCGGGGTTTCGGTAGCTTTGGGTGTACGGTTTAGGGCCCGATTCTGTACCCCTGCTCCTACTCAGCTTCTCCCTTAGACCGTAGGTCCTGTAAGTTTGAACTCCCCTCCGCCCGGCCCCCAGATTCGAAATGCTCTGTCAATAATAAGCAACCCAAGGAAGACCTCCCCAAGGAGTAAGGCCTAGATCCCTGGCCCTATGGTAATCCCAGGTATCGCGTAGCCAGTGCAACTCTGTCAACACAACCTCCGCCAACATTCAATCAAATCCGGGGCATGTGCAGTCTTGGAAAAACCCTGAAGCCCCAAAATCTCATAAGCCTCAAAACCCTAAACTGCCAAAGCTCCGACTGCCCAACATCTTCGAACATGTCCCAAGTCCTGAATCCAGCCCGAATTTAGAATTACAACAGGCTTGGCCATGGTAAGAACCAGCAAAACCAAGCATCGATCGTCGCAGCAACATAGGCTGCCCCGGCACTCTAAAGACAACAGGCATGCATCCTCAACCGTGAGCTTGACCCATCAGCTTCGCCCCATTGAAGCCGAAATATCCATCCCCTAATCACTCTGAACCCGAAACCCAAACCCTAGACTCACCGTCTGGACTCTGGCTCTCTGGCTGTCAAACCATGCAACAGGAGACCACAGCGTTTAGGGTTTAGTTCTCTTCATTGAGTGCTGGCCCTTTCGTATTCAGGGTGGCGCCAAGCTGGGCGGAATGCTGAACTCACAAGCACCGGTGGGAAGAGACCCCAAGCCTCAACTACCAGCTCTCCGAACCCTAAACCCTGAACCTAATCTGACCCCCCAAAGCCCCCAACTCTCAACTCTTCAAGAGCTGCAAGCCCCAAACTTCCAAACCGCCTCCTTCCGGAAGGCGCGGCCCCACGGCTTAGTGAGCCCAGGCAGCATTTTGGTATGGTTTAGGGGTTTTAGAGGTTTGAGATCCTAAGGCTGCACTAAAGAATTTCCAGTACTATTTTGCGGGTCTCCTTATCATAATTAGGGTATAATGAGCCCTAAAACCCTTTTACTCATTATTAAGGCCCCTATATTAGATGACTATGCCGATCTTTTGGCTCCACGTCCTCTTCTGCCTGCAGCTCCTCGTCGTCCTTCTCCTCCTTCGCCTTTGCCGCATCCCGCTCCTAATCTTCAACATACCATCAGCATCATCGCCACCGTAGCTGTCATGGTAGTGAGGATGATCATGATGATACTCATAGCTGTCATCATCGTCATCATCTTCTTCATCATCATCATCGTCGAAAAGAAGAGCGCGCGGCCCCGGTTGGCGCTTTTCTGCCAGCACAGCGAAGCCTTGCAGCAGCCCTCGAGGTTAGACCTGGGTTCCTCCGTTCGGCTCAGCCACCAGCGCTTTGCACCTTGTCCAATTTAGGGACCTGAATGATTGGAACAGGGTTTGAGGGGTGAATTGTAGCATTATAAGTTTCTAAATCTACTTTAATGACGAGGACCACCCTAAAACAATAGAAAATATTCATGTTTCCAAATTTGGGCATTTTTGGTGTCGGGGGTTGTAGGGGTGTTAGGATGTTGTTTAATTCCCGGATCTGGAGCCTTTCGTTTAAGGGTGGAAGGTGTTGATTTTCGATACCCTACACCCTAAACCCAAACCCTGAACTCTAAACCATTCCAAACTCTAAAGCCTGAGCTCTGAACCCTGAGCTTCAAACCCTGAACCCTAAAGCCCTCCGCCGTAGAACCTAAACCGGAAACTTGCAGGCTTCAGGTTCTTGTGTGGAGTGCAGGGGCATTCGTTTTCTGGGTCGGGGTGTAGGGTTGAGGGGCTTAGAGGTTTGCGGAATTTGCTTCAAACCCTAAACCCTAAACCCTAAACCCTAAACCCTAAACCCTAAACCCTAAACCCTAAACCTAAACCCTAAACCCTAAACCCTAAACCCTAAACCCTAAACCCTAAACCCTAAACGTTCAGGCCTTAAGTTGGTGCTGAGACAGTTTGCGGTGTGGCTTCGTCGCGTCGGTTGCCAGGTTTGAAGTTGAGATCTGTTCTGTTTCCTTTGTTTGCCGCTCCATCCCGTGTGGATGCTTTTGGAACTGCCAAGCGGTCTGAAATGTTCCTGAACATATATAGTTCCTGAGCATTGGCCCGGGATCAGGTGAAGGCCAAGCCCATGTCAAGTCAGCTGCCCCACAAATCACCAAGACCTTCAAGCCAAGCGGTTCCGAATAATTGCGTCCAGAGCCGTGTGGTTCGAAGTTCATTTTCCGAAGCCGAAACGTTTTGTGCTCTCGACCCCCAACTTGCAAGCTTGCGCTCTGAGCCTCTCATGCCTCGGCTCTTTCAGGTGACAAGCTTCGTCTAAGGGTTTACTTAAAGGATCATGGGACTTAGCAACTAGGGTTATAATTAGGGTAACTATACTTATGACTAATTACAACCCCAATTAAAGTACTTATAACCTTACTTACTAAGTCCGATGATCCTCCAAGTAGGGTTTCGGGTGTTGTGATTTCTCATTAGCTTTTAAGATCAAGGGGTTAGAGGCTTTCCAACTAACAGGGTTCCAGTTTTCGGGCCTTCATCAGCTGGATCATCTTGTTTGGTAATTCATAATTCAGTCTTAGAGTCCTGAGCAAGAAAGCAAACTCAGGACTCTACTCTGCTTATCAATGCCCTTATAAGAACACCTGTGGTACCCCTTGTATTACCCATGCGGAACCCTACGAGTAACCCGTATAGTAACTCTGTAAAGGATCAAGCCCTTAAAGCCTTAAACCCGTAAACCCTTAAACCCTAAACGCTAGGACAAGCCCCAAACGGAGTCCTGAGCCCGCGAGGTCCACTTCGACGCTGGCCAAGCAGAAAGCCTGGCAAAGCGGCTCGGCAGGTACAGAGTTTAGGGTCTAGGGTTGGGGTCCATGTAGGGTTTACGGTTTCGGGCTCAAGGCACTAGAAAGTTACTCTTAAAGGCAAGGTTATGCTCAAAGCTTATTTGCAAAGGTTGTATAAGGGTATATTGGGGTCTTCAGGCCTTTAGGATTTTAGATGTTGGGGCTTCCTGGTTTAGGGTTATAGAGGTGTGTAGGGCTTTACTGTTTAGGGCTTCATGGACTGATGAGCTGCTCACTTGCTTGTTTGATTATCACTTGGTAGCTATTCCTGAACCCTGACGTTGTCGGTCTTGGGGATCGTCATGCCCACAGGAGGAGCCAATGGCCCGAAATTCCATAAAAAGGGAGCTTTATGGCACGGAACCGAAAACCTTAATCCCGAAGGCCTTTGAATTCTGAACCCATCATAGAGGTCGAGCACCATGCTATGCCCCAAAACCCTAAAGCCGAAACCCCAAACCGTAAACGTGAAATCCTTCACCGGATATCTGAAGCCCGAACCTGTGGGAAGACAGCTTTCAGAGACGTTTGTCCAAGGTGGCTGGCCTGCTTTGAGGCGTTGAAGGCCCCCTTCCGCTACTGAGGGCTGACCTTCAGATTAAAGGAGGCTGCTGTGGGTTTAGGGTCTGGGGTTAGGGAAATCATGCAGCGAGCAGAAATGATTGTTGAATGTTGTAATGAATGCTGGAGGATTTTGGCTGCCAAGGGTATGTTGCCGGGACGGCAGCCCAGAAGTGAGAATTTCATTCGAACCAAATACTTAAGTTCATTTCCACGCTCGCTTGCTGTGGCAAGCATTGAGTGGCTGGCTGGTTGGAAATGCGAACATGATGTCTGCGAAGTTGGACAAAGTGATAAAGTGGCAGGACTTGATGCTATGCTCTTTGAGACGATCTTTGGTGATTTGGGGTGTTGGGGAGAGGAAGTGGTATGCCCGTTAACTATGCTGTTGGAAAACGTAGTTGGGAAAACGATTGGGCAATGGGGATTTGGTGTCTGTGGGGGGATGGGGAGATGTGCAGTGCCATGCACCGGCCTAAGCTCAACTCCTTCCGTGAGGCAGAACGCACCAGCGGCGAAGAGGCTTGCTCTTGTAATCTGCTCGGAATTGCATTGATTGGTACACTTCGAAATATTCTTAGTGCATAGTTGGGTGTTCATTGGTGTTCTTTTTCGAGGTCCGGTCGTGTGTCGGATTCAGGGTTTTGCGTTTTGTTTGGAGGTAGGGGTTTAGGTCTTAGGGGCTTCGGGTTTAGGAGTCTGATTGTGTTTGGAGGGATTTGCTAAGTTCATGCACCAAGAGACTACTTTTTTCAGGTCGGAGATCTATCGACTACTGTATAGGGGCTTGAATGGTCAATACCAACATTGTTCCTCAGGCTTTCGTAGTATATTTATACCAACAAAATTCCCCAAAACTGTCAAGGCCCGTGTATATCATACTAATTATGGCAATCCTTTCACTAGACCTTTAAAAGCAACCCATAGCTCTCGGACTCAATCTTCCTGACCGAAAGATTGGACTTGGAGATTGTTGCTCAAAGACTCCAAAGCCCCTTAAGTAAGGAACATACCTTACACAGCATACTAGGGTTCCTACTAGTATTAAGGGTCTTGCCTATATCATGGGAACCTCTCCCCACACTGCATCCGACACCGAACTCCTCAACAAAGCCGGTCCAATTCCGAAACCCTACAACCTAAAGCCTGCCTCTATGGCTTCCTTAACCTCCGGATTTAGGGCTCATGGTTTATAGTGGTTCACTGCAGCGCAGGAGGCCTCAGAGAGCAAGGTCTCGTCGCCGAAGGCCGCGTACAACGCGCGGAAGCGGACGTTCCTATACCGTGCGGAGCCCGAGGTTTCGTGTGGGGATCTGGAGAGTGCATTGCCGCGATTTCTTGCGGGGATTTCCAGGAGCGTGATATCCCCTTAAGCTTCAATAAAAGCGTCCGTAAGAAAAGTGGTCCGTTTTGCATTGAGTTTCGTTGGTTGGATGAAGTTGAAGCTGTTTGTCGTTTCCACATCGGGCCTCGTGCTGGCTTAAGGTACCCAGAACCCTGTTCGAACTATTAGGGCCCACATGTCTCAAGCCGCAAAACTGTTTGCCCTGCAACCCTCCAAAAAAGACCGTAAGCTTCAACCGTCTTTGGGGTGGTAGGGTTTGATTCTCCAGTCCAAACACATGCACCCCTACAAGCTACCAAACCGAGGCAAGCACAGCTACCGGGCAAGAAAGCCGAAAGCACCTCCTGGGCGAGCCCTGGGCCTAGCTCAGGTTTGATTATTTGTGATATAGTTAATATCAGTGGTTGTATACACAAACACGGAACATCTCGATAGTGTTTCTGTATTCTTTTCCGGGATGTGTTTGTGTGTGTGTGTGGGGATTTGTTGAGGTTGGTTTTAGCTCACGGGATCTTAAATGCTTGAGGGTTTGGTTTTGGAGATTCTGCGGTGGAGTTTGAGGGGCTTGGTCATTCAATAAGGATTGAGGTTTAGGGCTTGAGCTATTCTCTCTACATTCAAGTTCCGAGGTTGATGGATGTTGAGGGTTAAGTTTAGTGCTTAGGGGTTTGAGTTTAGCATGTCAGGTTAGAGGTCTCGGGTCTTGGGGCTTCAAGATGTAGGGAATGAATGGAGTCATAGCTGCAGTTGAAATCTGGGTGGTTCGACCCACTTGCGATCGATGGGCTGTCACTGCCCCGAGACCCTAAACCCTAAACCGCTGGCCCGAGAAGCGGCAACCAGTGTCGCAGTTTTCAGGTTAGGGGTTTTGGGTGTATGGTTTCGGGTTTAGAGTTGAATTCTTTAAACCGAAACCCCACCTGATCTGAAGACGCCTACCTACAAGCCCAAACCCTGTTGTTTGGAACGTTTCAGCGTCTTGTATCGTGAGCCGCGGGAAGTTGGAAGACGGGATAAGCATGATTCGTGCTGCGATCCCTTGTGCTTTACCTTCATAGTGAAAGGGCGATCGTGTTCCAGTCTTTGGGCTTGTATTTTGGAGCCGCTGAATAAGCAGAGTTTCTGGCTGCTTCAGACGCCACATGATCAAAGCCATCAGGTGACGGCCTCACTGCCGGACGAGACGTGGTCGGAGCCCCAGACCTCACAGATGTCGTGGCTGGGTTAGGGCTTGGGTCCAGACGATTTCTGTATGCTGAAGCCTAGGGCGCCGGATATCGGAAGGCATCTCCGAGTTTTTAAACCTTGAAAGCTCAAGCTCTTAATCCAAAGCACCAAAACTCTTAGCCTTAAAGCTCTGGTAACCCTAAACCCCCCAAAGCCCTCGTCCTCAAAGCTCTGGTAACCCTTGTATATTATGGTACCCTTACAGTATCCCTTATAGTATGTATATTATTTTTATGAGCCCAAAACCCGAAAATTCACTGAAAAAAGCCCTCGTCGCCCCTGCAGCCCTATTCTAAGTCCCTTTTTATGGTACCCTTATGGTATCCCTTATAAAGTATACTATAACGCCCCTGCAGATGGTACGCTTATGGTGTCTATCCCTTATAAGTATACTATATCGGGCCCAAAACCCTAAACCCCCCAAAAGCCCTCGTCGCCCCTGCAGGGTACCCTTATAGTATCCCTTATGAAGTATACTCTTTTTATGAGCCCAAAACCCTAACATCCACCCAAAGAAAGCACTGTCGCCCCTGCAGCCCTGTTCTAAGCTCCTTTTTATGGTACCCTAATAGTATCTATCCCTTATAAGTATACTAAAATGGGCCCAAAACCCTAAACCCACCGAAAGCCCTCCTTCACCGAAAAAAGCCCCGCCTCCCTGCAGGGTCGATGTCGCGCCAAGCCGCTCTGTGGCCTGGCTTTCGGCCTGGCGGCGCCTTGGCAAAGCGATTTTGGGAGGTCTTAGAAGGGGTTCCTTTTAAAGGGTCCTTTAAGGGTTACTGTAAGGGATCTACAGGGGTACTATGGTATAGGGGCCTTTATAAGGGGCAAGTAGAAGCCAAAAAGTTGGAAGCCCCATGGCCTCAGTCCTTAAGAGTAATGTATCGGGAATCCCAGCACTATTTGGCCTTAATCCGGTTTCCAACTTGATGGGGTTTACTGTAAGGGTTCCTTTCAAAGGGTCTAGAAGGGTTGCTAAAAGGGATCTATAAGGGTACTTGAATATAGGGGCCTTAATAATAGGAATAGGGTTTGGGGTTATTTTGTACTATTGACTTTGGGAAGCTCCCGGTTGAAGCTTTGAGATATTTGGGGTCTAGGGTTTAAGGTTTAGGGTTTATGAGTCTTGGGTTTTGGGCTTAGGGTCAGGGGTTTAAGGAGTTTAAGGTTTAGGGGTTAGGGTTTAAGGAGGGTTTAGGGTTTGGGAGAGGGTGGGCATCTGGTAAGTGCAAGGATTGAAGAGCTTGGCCTCGATGTACAAAAGTCGATTGACTCCGGTGTCTGTCCACCGCCTGAAGCACAGACTCTTGTGAAGACGGAAAATGGGCCCTCAAAATCAAAACAGGATGCAAAGACAGAGCCAGGACAAAGGACGGGGCATCGGAGATTATACTTGGAGGATCATGGGACTTAGCAAGCAAGGCTATAAGTACCTCAATTGGGGTTACAAGCATTTATAAGTATAGTCACCCTAATTATAACCCGAGTTACGAAGTCCCATGATCCTTTAAGTAGGGGTGATGTGAGTCCCAAGAAGTGTTAAAGTCACAGTGCTGAGGAATGTCCAGGGATGCGGCAGCTCCGACAACGAGCTTGCGCCCCGCATGCAATCACCCTCCCAGGGACGGAGAATTTTCCAAAATTCCATGACTCCCGAAGCCCCCGTTCAGGGTCTGGGGTCTATAAGGTTTAGGGTATGGTTGGGGCATTCAGGCTGGATGGTTTCAGACCTGTTTTCCGAGATTACCTGCAAGCTCATGTGTTACAGATTCCAGCTTCCACATCCTGTGGCTGCAAGCCCTTATGCCACATCTGCCCCAGATGCTGCAAAGCTTCCGAGAGCCCAAGCCACTCTAGAAGCTGTTACTGTCATTGCCGAGCATCAAAAGGCCCAACGCAGAAAGACAGAGCCTCAGGCAGTAAAGACTTCTCAGCTCCAGATCCGAGGCTTAGCCCCAAAGCCTTATTTTCCTACTGGTAGAGTTGTTTGCAAGGACATCCTGGAGCTGCCGGAGGAGACAAGGGCCCGCCATCCCAAGTGCCAGTCGTACGGGGGTTGAGGGTTTGCATAGCATGTGGTCGGAACGGCGTCAGGGTTGCAGGCCTTAGGCTTCTGAGATTGAGCTTCATGCATATATTATACATATATATATATATATACATATATATATATTCTATACTCACACATACTACCTTTGTTTGTCCATTAATCCTACACGTCTCTTCAGGCCCTGAAGATGAGATGAGGGCTTTACGAAGGTCTTCATTAGGGGCTAGAGCCCTCTGGGTTTGAGACGCATGCGCATGACCCGGACCAGGGAAGGTGAAGCCATTCAGTCGCACGGCTCCCCCATGTACCGGAGCTCTTGATGGTTGTTTGGCTGTCTTTGCAGCTTTCTGGGTTTAGGGGAATTCGTCCCTATGAACATATGCTGTAGATGTACATCGTGAAGGCTCAAGATACATTCGTCACCTTAACCTGGAGTCTTCCTCCTGGAAGAAGACCCGAAACCTCAACCGTGAACATCACATCCACACCGTATCCTAAACCCTAAAGCCTAAACCCTGAGCCCTTTGGCCTAAGCCCCAACACAAAGCCCTAAAGCCCTAAACCCCCAACCCCTTAACCCGAATGACCAAGCAACCCTGAACCGTGAGCTTTCCCTGGGTTTGGAGTACCATACTTGAATGCTTTTTGGAACCTGTTCCTTAAAGGAACCATTATGGAAAAGTCTATACACTTTTTTCTTCCTGGTTACTTCAAACCTGTTCCTTAAAGGAACCATGATGAAAACAACTATCTTTTTTCTTCCTGGTTACTTCAAAGTCCAGTTTCTTGATTTCCTGCTCGAAGCTCCACGTGGGAGGAGGATTGGAAGCCGGCCGAGCACTTTGCTGCTGAGGGCGTTGAAGAGGCGAGGACATTGACGGGCACATATATATATATATATATATATATATATATAGATATAGTCATATATATATATAACATGTATACATATGCGAGCTTCCTAAGCTCGACCAAGTCTGACTCACTAAACAGGGCAATGGTTTGCGGTTGGGGCTTCAGGCTCAATGTTTTTCAGTTCAGGGATGGCTTCTCAAACGGAGAGCTTACCGAGGATAAATCCTTTGGGCTTTGGGTTTAGTGGTACCTTTGTTTGGTCGGTCCGCCATCAGGGTCACCCTGACGTGGTCTTATCCTCTAAGCTAGCTACACCACAAGTCGTTTGAGATTGGAGCACCCCTAATCCTGAGCCCCAAGCCAAGGACCCCTGAACCTCAATTGTATCAATCCCTAGACCTCAGCCCCAGACTCTGTGCATTCTAAGCCTCTAGCCCTGAACCGGAAACCCTACTAGTAGCTGGCGGTTCATGGGCCAATGGGTTGTTAAAAGTAGGGTAAAAATGTCCACTGATATGAGTGATAAGTATAGTTTCCCTACTTATAACCCCCACTTATATCTACCCATGAACCTCCAAGTAGGCCCTAAACCCTATACCCTTCTAGAATCCCTTATAGTAACCTTTGTAGACCCCTTTAAAGGAACCCTATAGGTAATTATTACGGTTTAGGGCCCCTCTCCCATCGACCGACAAAGCCCGCAGGTCACAGCCGTCGTGAGGGCGGGGCTCGAGCCAGAGGATCGGCAGGGCCGGGAGCTAAGGCTCTAAGGGTTGAGGGATTTTTTCAGCTTTACGGTTTAGGGTTGAGGGTTTGAGGTTTAGGGTTTAGGGTTGAGGGTTTGAGGTTTAGGGTTTAGGGTTGAGGGTTTTTTCGGCTTGAGGGCTTGGTTTCTTAGATTGCTTTTCAGATTTTGGCTTTGGGGTACAGGACAACAATATCGAGAAGAAGCCTGTCTTTTTGGATAAGAAGTTAACTGAGGACATGTCCATTCTCTCCAGCCTGAAGTCAAACTGAGAACAGCGCAAACCCCAAACCCCAAGACCCTAACCCCCAACCCTAAACCCTACCTGAACCTACCAAACCCTACTTTTTTGCAGGCTCTTATTATAAACCCTAATATGGAATTTATAGGGACCCTACAGAAAAGTAGGTTCTCGTAGGTTAAGGTAAAACTGATAAAGATGATCTTCACCGATGTGCAGACTTGCAAAGGTGCCTGGCCACTCCTGGCCGCTGCCGCAGCCAAGCGACGACGCAAAGGCTGCGCTTTGGGAGCTTGCACTTGGAGGTTCATGGGTAGTTGTAAGTAGGGTTATAAGCCTTATAAGCCCCCTAATAAGAGTTGTAAGTATAGTTACCCTACTTATAACCCCCCTTATAGCTACCCATGAACCTCCAAGCAGAAGTTCTGGGTTTTGGAAGCAGTGTCAAGCGGTCTTAGGGGCTTTTGCCATTGTTAACTTAGAAGGTGCCCCCACCCTGTAATAGTGACTACAAGGATTATATCAGGGCCGTATTATATTCCGATTATACCACTATTACAGGGTGGGGGCCCCTTCTAAGTTTCAACGCCAGGACATGCTAAATATTCTCTTCAATGTAATGTTCCTGAACGCTTTTTTGGATTACATGCGTTCTTCTCTCCTGTCGAGAAACTGCAGGTCGACCCTACGACAGCCTCGTCGCGGAGGGCAAGGACTTAGAGGAGAACGAAGCCGTTCGCACGATCCAGGCCAGGGGGCCCTTCTGGGGTTTCGCGTTTAGGTGTTCGGGTTTCGAGTGTAGTAGGGTTTTTGTTGGTATCACTTCGGTGTCAGTAACCCCGGGCAACTTCCCCAACACCCATAAGAGGCGATTGTGCTACAAGCTGCTACATACTTTTGGGGTCTAGGTAAGCCTTAAACTCTAAACCCATTGGCCACGAACTCATCATGGCAAGCACATCATAGGAGGCCAAAAGGGGTTTTAGCCTATGGGGGTTTAGTAGGGATTGGGCTTCCCATAATCGGGTTCTTTTGGCCTTCAATCAGTACAGGCCGACCTCCACCGGACTGGCATGGAAGATGCACCTGCGATGGCAGAAAGATTTGCGGATTCAACACGGGTGGGTATAGGGATAAAGGGATTAAAAAATAATAGATGGGTAAGTTCTACATACAAAATGGAAGTTGATTTGGCGTGAGAATTTAACACGGCGGGTATGATAATCATGATAGGGGTTGCGGGTTTGTAAGCGGGTTTGTAAGGGTTTTGTCTAGAGGTTCACAAAGGTTTGTAAGGGTCTTACAGGATTTTGTTGGGTGTTTAGTCGGGATCACACTTAGAGTGGGGTATTGGAGTTTTTTATTATGATCATGTAGGTAGTCTGAGGGGATACCATTACTAACATGTTCGACTAGACCCTCAGGACTCTCACGTTCACAAGGAAGCTTGTGCTTTGGGATGCAGTGCTGCTTTCGCAGGAAATAACTTGTTCGAGTGTTGGGATTCAGCGTTTTGGACGGGTGTCTACGCCCCTTGAGATTCCGTTTCGGGGTTTAGGGCTTAGCAGGTGGGCTGCTTGGCTGCAGCTGCGACTCAGCATTTTCAATCAAGGTTCCCATTCTGCACGAAGAGTCGTCCTGGCCCTTCTTGTCTGTGAGATCAACACCCTGAACCTCGTGAGCCCAAACCCCTCAAACCTAAGCTCTAAAGTGCGTCCTTCGGAAGATAGAAACCGGGATTCCACCCAAGCCTCAAACCTTGACACATGGAAAGTCCATGCCGGCGCATATCCAAGGTAGATGTTTGCTCTCTGGAGAATGTGCTGCTGTCGTTTGCAGCCACCAATCCAGCATCTGGGCCTCGTTATTAGGGCTGATGGACCCAGAGACTCCAATATCCCTTAGTTAAGGAATATACCTCAAATTATAGTAGGATCCCTAATATGATTTACGGTATACTCCCTAATTAAGGGATATTGGAGTCTCTGGGGATTGAGGTCTAGGTCTCCCGTGTTGGATTTCTGGTTAGGGTTTCGGAATAAGGCTTTGGGGTTGGGGTTTAGGGTTTAGGGTTTAGGGTTTCGGGGTTGGGGTCGTGGGGCTGAGGTGTGATGTCCAATGTCTAGAGCTTGGCTTAGCACTCGGGGTTGAGGCAATCGAGGTTTCGATGTTGGAGTCGCAGCCATGTCAACGTTCTCGAGTGGCCCCCCTTTGGCTTTGTGTTTTGGGAAGAAAGGTTTAGGGTTTAGGGTATGACTGTGGGGCTACCGGGGAACCGAGTTGGCCATGAAGCAAGCCAGGACGCGAGTCCTGAGCTGCGGCCCGAGACCCTAAAAGCCTAAACCCTACACCGCAAAGCACCTTAACCCGGAACCCACAACAATCACTCTAAAACACCATATCATATTACATCATATTTAACTCTATTATGCTATCTCATGTTTTAATTGAATTAAAGCATATTCTTTTACCGAACCCTCATATAACTTCCTTTTCAGAACTGCTCGAAGGAGATCGGCTACTGCCAGTCGATGAGTTTCGTCGCGGCCACCTTGCTCCACTACCTGCCGGAGGCGGGTTTCGAGCGGTTTCGGAGTGAGGGTTTTACAGCTTTAGGATCTGGGGGTTTGGGGTTTAGGGGTTTCAGGGTTTAGGGGGTTTAGGGTCTAGGGTTCAGGGCTTGTCCCTGAAGAAGCACCCACAGGTTTTGTGGTTTGGGGTTTAGGGCTCAGTTTTCGCAAGTAGAATTTGGATTGGTGTGTCAGTATCAGAAGGTTCTGAACCGTGCACTGAGGTTTTCAGGGTTTAGGGAGAGTTTATAGGTTTACTTTAACCTACCAAAGCCTATACTACCTGTTTGTGAACCCAGGGCCGGCCCTTCACCCCCCGACGAAACCGTAAGCTTCAATAAGCCTTAACTACAAACCCTTATCCATGAACCGCTCGAACCCTAGACCCTGAACCCTCCGCTCTGAACCCCAGGCCTTAAACTCTGAACCTAAGCCCCGGCGACCCTCAAGTGTTGAAGGAGACTGCCTTCTGGACTCTTTCCGGTCTTTTGGAGGATGTGCTCCCGGAGGACTGGGGTTGTGAGGGCTTTTTTTTTGGGTTTGGGGTTTGCGATTTAGGGTTTAGGGATTATTAAGGGTTTAGGGTTCGGGATGGGTATCTTAAGGGTTCCCAGCGGGTACTACAGGGGCTTTTGGGGTTTCTGGTCTCGGAGCTTTCGGAGTTTTTGGAGCCTCGGGGTTGAAGCTCTTTTGGGATTTCGAGTTTCAGGTCGTACTGCTTGAGAAGGCTTCCGTTTTGGGGCTTGGGGGCCGCCTTCGGTTTGCAGCAAGTCGGAACGGTCCTTGGCGATGAAAGTCTAAGTCCTGAACCCAATAATCCCTATAATTATAAGACCTCTTCTGCGCCGCTTGAGGGCTACTTTGCCTCCCGCATGGTCGGACTTCGAACGGATCTCCGCGTACTGAGTGTGTGCCTCGCCTTGGCACACTTGGAGGATCATGGGACTTAGTAGGTAAGGTTGTAAGTACCTTAATTGGGGTTACAAGTATTATAGGTATAGTTACCCTAATTATAACCCTAGTTACTAAGTCCCATGATCCTTTAAGTAGACCCTAAACCCTAAACCCCATAGATCCCTTTAAGGAACCTAAACCCTAAACCCCCATAGATCCCTTTAAGGAACCCCTATAGATCGACCCTTAGAGGAGCCCTAGTTACTAAGTCCCATGATCCTTTAAGTAGACCCTAAACCCTAAACCCCCATAGATCCCTTTAAGGAACCCCTATAGATCGACCCTTAGAGGAGCCCTAGTTACTAAGTCCCATGATCCTTTCAGAAGGGGTCAGACTTCGAGGCAGGGCTCGCCATTTAGGCTTTCGGACCTCGCGTTTAGAGTTTTGGCCTAGGGTTTAGGGGCTTCGGGGTTTGGGGTTTAGGGTTTAGGGGTTTAGGGGTTTAGGGGTTTAGGGTTTAGGGGGTTAGTTGTTTAGGGGTTTAGGGGTTTAGGTTTAGGGTAGGATTTACTGTTTGGGGGGTGGTGATTTGGGTTTTCTAGGGAGTAGTTTTAGTGCATCTCCTTGGCACCGAGAGCAAATTATCTTTGTTAGAGAGCCTCTGAACCCTAAGCCCGGAGCCCTCAAACCCTGAACCCTAAAGCCCTATGTGAGCCACCAAGCCTTAGACCCTCAGCCCATCCAAGGCTCTTGTCGCAGTACCTCCCTTCTTTGGCAGATCACCTCGAAGCGCAAGGCTGGGTTTCGGAGTCTTCAGGACGTTTGCTCAGGATTTAGGCTTTAGGGGGTTTTGCCATCGTGGGTCTACTCTTCTTGCAGTCATTCGACTCTTGGGCAGTTCTGTACAGAATTTGGGAGCAGTTGTTACGAAAGCTTTGTGACTTTTGCTCCTGAGAAAGAAGGTTCCCGAGGTGAGATGCAGGGTTCGAGCCTCGGGATTGTCAGGATTGTGACTGGGCCAGCCTAGCGATGCTCCGCTAAGCCGAACTTTCCTGCTTTTCCCCGGATCATGAACGGCCTTGGCCCGCCCAGTGGCATGCTGCGCGTAGCTCCCTGATCGCAGACACCGGCCCAGCATGCCCCAGAGTACTTTTGTAATCCCAACCCTAGAATTCCATAGAACTCCAAACTCAAATCTTGCACTTCTTAAGCAGCCGCCGTCCGACGCTACGAACCCAAAGTCCGTAGACGTATACAAAACTTTGTCATAGTTGGGTAACATTTTACATGTTTACGGGTACCTAAACCCAATAAGGAACAGAAATGTACATCTTTAGTCCTATCCCAACCATGAACTAGAAAAGCTCTCGAAAGCCCCGGCCTCGTCCAGAAATTGACCTCTCGCCGATCACGGTGTCCCTCGGCCAGAAGAAGATCGAGAGGCCAAGGATTGAGGGATTTAGGGTTTAAGGGTTTAAGGGTTTAAGGGTTTAAGGGGTTTAGGGGTTCAGGGGTTTAGGGGTTCAGGGGTTTAGGGGTTTAGGGGTTTAGGGGTTCAGGGGTTTAGGGGTTTAGGGGTTTAGGGGTTCCGGGGTTTAGGGGTTTAGGGTTTAGGGTTTACGGTTACACAGAGGGTCTCCAACCCCTGTCGCCACGCCAGCTGAGTCTAAGGGTCTTAGATGCTCTTACACGCAGCACAACTAGATGATTGGTAGTGAGCATGGGAGCTCGATGTAGGACAACTTACCTCCACCAAAGTGTTTTGCGATTCAGGGTTCGACGGATCTCACACATGGGTCCCTGGATCCATGGCCTCAGCTTACCTAACAGAAAGTTCCGACGTGTAGGGGCCCAAATTGTCTACAGACTCCGCGAGCTGAATTCCCACAAGCCGTACACAGGCTGTGTGCCAGGTCTTCCAACTCTACCCATTTCCGACAAAGTTTGTGCCTTCCACCACCCACAAGATCTCACGTGCCTTAAGGAACTGGTTCCTCTGCCTCTTTCTGAACACACTACCGGCAAAGTGGTCCCATCGCGTGCTCGACACCGCCTTGCTCTCAGCATGTTGGGGACAGAACAACCAAAAGGGTCGCCTGCAAAACTCGATCTCGAAAGGACTGACGGTAGTGAGAGGTGACGTGTTTTTGCTGAGCTGAGCAAGCTGTAAGCTGCGTATGAGCTTCACGGTAGCACCTCATTTTGCCTCGCCACCGAGCTCCGAGCCCATGGAGTGCAAGATGTTGGCAAGAGTCATGCAGTGTCTACACCTGTCCTCATTTTCGAAGCCATGTATCTGCATCGATGCTCATCGTCTCTGCTTCATGTTCATGTATGAGGCCGTCTAAACTAAACCTTAAATCCGAAACTTGAAATCGAAGCCTCCAAGTCTAAAATCGTCCCCAGGTCCTCTACGAGGGTTCCGTCACGCTTTTCCGGCTTGCCTTGGCGATCCTCTCTTTTCGGAGCAAAGAGCTCCTGCTCCTGGGATAGCCTTTGTTTGCTACTTGGAGGTTCATGGGTAGTTATAAGTGGGGTTATAAGCAGGGTAACTATACTTATAACTCATCTTAGGGGACCTATAACCCTACTTATAACTACCCATGAACCTCCAAGTGGGGATGGTGAAGTTGCTCCGACAAGCTGTGCGGTGCGTGGGGTTTGATGTTGGGATTGTGCCTAGGTCGCACTATTGGCCCTGGTGTTTAGCATGTGGTGGCTGTGACATGGTGGCACCCTGAACACTGTGATTGCTATCCTCAGATACGCAGTTACTGGTATCTGATAAGATCAGCACGCATGTTTGGGGTCTAATACCCTAAACCCTAACACCGAACACCATAAGCAAAAAGCTCTTAAACCCTGAAACCCCGAAAAAACCCTCAGTCCTAACACCCTAAACCCGACAGGTCCTGAGGAAGTGAAGCCTGCTTACGGCCCCACTTTTCCTATGCCTCTGCAGCGAAGGTCCTGCAACTCAGTCCCCGACGCTTTCATCTACCTCCGATCACCCTGCGACTGCCGTGGCCCTGCCAAGGCCGGGTGGGGAGACAGGCTCTTAGATCCAAAAGCCTACCCGGAGAAATTCCTTACGGAACCGATAGGGTGGGATTTGGAGTGTAGCGTTGAAGGCGTCGGGGGGTTTTGGGGTTCAGGGCTTAAGGGTTTAGGCTTGGGTTGGGGTGTGGTCCTTCGTGGTTCGGGAACCCCTGCACCGAAGCAAGGAAACGTCGCTGGGCACAAAAGGTGGGCTGAGGGTTTAGGCTTTCCATTGCAAGTGGGCTTATAAGTAGGGTAGCTATACTTAGGGGACTTAGATCCTTACATATAACTACCCATGAACCTCCAAGGTAGGAGTTCTATGGACCCCGAGCCTTCACATCGCTCAACGCCTGTTGCGCCCGACAGCGGAAGGCTTGACGTGGACCCTGACCCGAACTCCTACTCGTAGCCGTAAACCTGGTTGAACACCAAAACTTACTTAAAGGATCATGGGACTTAGTAACTAGGATTATAATTTTAGGGTAACTATACTTATAACTACTTATAACACCAATCAAGGTACTTATAACCTTACTTACTGAGTCCCATGATCCTCCAAGTAGAAAGGCAGGTCACTTGAGTTCTCCACCCATGGCGCACAACCTGGAACCCCAACTACCCCGACTACCCTAACTGCCCTGACCTAGCCCGAGCCCGGAAGCCTCGAAAGCTCTTTGCAAACGCGCAAAACCCGAAACACCTGAAATCTCTAAAGCCATGAGTCCTAACACCGTAGAACCCAAAGCCTTCGAAGTCACAATCCCAAGCACCCTAAGCCCAAGAACAAGTCCTTGGCTCAGTGTGCTTTTGCCGCAGGCGGCCGAGGGCGCTGAACTGTGGGTTCGGGCCTCAGAGTATGCATATTCACGAGGCGGCTACATAAATGCAGAACTGCTCGTTGGCTGTATGTACAAGTACACAATATTTTTACCCCAAAGAGCAGCTGGAGTAGTAAGTATTCAAATATGGTTACAGGCCGAGGTGTGAATCTTGATCCTGGGGAAGTCTGTGCATGCCCATGTGCACACAGAGTGGCAGGCAGATCTGTCCGCGAATATAGGTATTTTTACACACAGGCAGACGCATGCATAGTCTCACAGTTGTCAGACCATTGCCATGAAACGTGTTTTCCTTAGCTAGGATGCAGAAACCAGAGCTCAATTGGTTGCAGCCTAGTCACAGATCCAACTGGCATCCTGAACCCTAAACCCTAAACCCTAAACCCTAAACCCTGAACCCTGAACCCTGAACCCTAAACCCTAAACCCTAAACCGTGGCATCCTGAACCGGACTTTTGTCATGTGCCGAGGCAGCCTTGGCATCCTACACTAACTAGGATGTTCAGTAGTACCCTTATTCCCTTTTTGTAGTCCTAGGTTCCTTATAAAGTTACCCAATACCAAAAAGAGAGGCCTTTTTATTCTTAGGTTACTGGGCATCCTACCGCAAGCTTTCCAGCTTCAAGATTTGAAGGTTTTTGTGACCTAGACCTTTGGGAAGTTATAGCACCAGTGCCATAGACTGATCTAGCTCTTCTTCTACATGTCAAGCCGTCGACATACATTGTGAAGTCTTTGTTGCCTTGTACGATTCGTTCCTTGAATTCGGGATCTTGCCCTTGTGAACCCTGCTTCCCTGACCTCAAGAAGTCTAACCCAAATTTCCGTGCCTCAAGTTCACACACACACAAGGAGCTGATGTTCGCAGAGTGGCTGAACGACCGCCCTGGGATTCAGATTATGCAGAGGGGTTGTTGCTTCAAGGGGGTTGGAGAATTTCCAAGGGTAAAAGGAGGGACCCTTAATAAGGACCCCTAGATATATACCTTTAATATAGCTATGATATACCCATTATATAGCCCATTATAGGGTAGGGGTCCCCATTAAGGTTCCGTCCTTTTCCCCTTTGAGAATTCTGACTGTCGGACGTCGCATCGACCTCTGCATTGAACCCTAAATCCCAGAACTCTAAGCCCTGTATATGGAACTCTGTATATGGAACCCGAAATCCCACACCCTACCGGTTGCTGAAAAAACCCTACCTTGTTTTCGGTTCCTTAACAATGCTTCATGTTACAGTTCCTCAAAACGGCAGGCTTTTTGGACCACAGGTAAACACTTTCTTCTTGGGATTGTCGGGATCGTCAGACTCGAGACGAAGGGCCCCAAACATAAGTATCGCAGTCTTTGAAGTCTATAACGGGGAAACTGTAAACCCTAACGCACATCACTTCCAGAGGCTTCCTCATCAGAGTTATGCAAGAAAGGAGCCCAAAACCCCATTAAGGCCCCTACTTGGAGGATCATGGGACTTAGTAAGTAAGGTTATACGTACCTTATTTGGGCTTAGAAGTAGTTATAAGTATAGTTACCCCCGAGAGACTCCGATCTTCTCCATCCTTCGAAGCTTTGGAGCCAGAATTAGAAAATGTTTAAGGGTATGTATCCGATAGTATCCGAGAAGACGTACAGGGATCCCAAGGAATAATATTACTACCCAGTATTGCCGCAAGGATTCTAGGACGTTCTTCAAAAGTGTTCGAGCTTTGGGCTGGGCACTTCTGCCACTTTCGGGAAGCATCGTCGCATGCGACGCACGGAAGCTTGGTAGTAAGATATCAAGGCCAGGGTTGCTTCAAAACAGGACGAATGGCTTTTCTCACCACAGCCTCTGACATAAGTTCTGTAGCACGGTCTCCCTCAGCACAAACCCTGAACTCTTCTAAGCCTCTGCCTGTATTCTGTCCCGATACTTCTATAAGACATAAGCACGCGCAAAATGGGTTTTTCTGTAAATTGAACACGCACCTCTGTCTCTCTCTCTCACTCTCTCCCTCTCTCTCCCTCTCTCTCTCTATCTCTCTCTCTCCCTCTCTCGCCGTCTCTCTTCATTGTTCAATCAGAACCAGTGTTTTGGTGGTTTCACCAGGATCTTTCAGAGCAGAAGCTCGGGCGTCTCCGAAAGGAGCAGCGGCGAATCGTGGAGGCTCCGGCATGTCTCTTAACAACCCTGCTTAAAGGATCACGGGACTTAGTAACTAGGGTTCCTTAAGGGCTCCTTAAAGGGATCTATAGGGGTTCCTTAAAGGGATCTATGGGGTTTGGGGTTTAGGCATCTACTTACAGGATCATGGGACTTAGTAACTAGGGTTTTAATGAGGGTAACTATATATACTTATCACCACTTATAACCCCAATTGGGGTACTTATAACCTTACTTGCTAAGTCCCATGATCCTCCAAGTAAGCTCTAAGCATGCTTGGTAAGCCCAAAAAGGCCTAAACCCGAAGCACCCTAGGCCCAGTCTATGCCCTAATGGCCGGAACCATGTGCTTCTTCTTTGTTTGTTCATGATTTTCAGGGTTTCCAGGTGTATGAGTTTTGGGTTTTGAGGGTTCAGGGCATTCAGAACGGTGGAGGCTGTTCTTCGACAGAAAAGAGTTCAGGGGGTGTGGGTTTTGTAGGGGGATTTTAAGGGTTTTCTCGCGGTTTGTAATTCTACGCCGGTTTCGCGTTTGGGTTGTTGAGTCTTTAGGGTGCAGCTCTTGTTTCCGGGCTGCAGAAGTCATTGCCGGGGCTTTTTATGCCAAGCAGAGTCGTAACATTCCAGTCGTCTTGCTGGGGGCCTTGAACAATAAAAGTCTGCGAGGCCGAAGACGACAAGGTGGCGGCTTCCAAGACGTCACCGGGCTTCCTGCAGAAGATGTCGCGCCGGCCTCTATCTCGTGTTTGGGAGTTCTTTAGGATCTAGGGTTTAGGGGTTTTAGGAGTTTAGGATATACGGGTTTAGGGGTTTAGGGTTTAGGGTTTCGAATTTGGGTTTTGGGGCTCAGGGGTTAGGATATAGGGGTTTAGGAGTTCAGGGTTGACGGGCTTGGGGTTCAGGGTTTAGGATATAGGGGTTTATGATTCAGGTTTTAGGGGCTTGGGGTTTACGTTTGAAGATTCAGGGTTTAAAGCATGATCAATGTTTTTGTTGCGTGTCCAAGGGCCTTACAGTAATTAGGGACCCCAAACATACATAAGCATAAGCATTTTATAGGGATATCCCTACCTTTTTGGGCATCACTATAAGGGGGTCTATATGCGATATCCCTATCCTAATTTTTGCTTACGTGCTTTTTTTGGGCCCCAAGTAAACCTACCGCACAAAGCCTCCGATCCCAAAGCTGATGCCCTGTAACGACCCTAGGCCTCTTGCTCTTATCCGGGCTTGCCGACCTGATGGAGCTTACTGCTGAAGGCATTTCAGCTCTAAATCTGGGATTCGGAGTAGCAATCCAATACATCTGCAAGCACGTCACGTCCTAGCGGTTTAGGGCTTAGGTCTACATCCATACAGTTGTGCAGAGCCGTTTGAACCCTGTAGGGCCCCGGAGTCTTAAACCCTACTAAAGCCAATCCTAGAATCGGGAAGCCCTCGAAACTCCTTTAGCCTGTGAAGCCCAATGCCATCGGACCACCCTACACCCTTTTCCGCATCTACTTAGGAAAAGACCGTTGAAACAACGACCCTAAACCCGAAGCCCTAAATCGCGGGCTTTTCGGATGTAGACTTGTCTGCAGACGGAAGATGTAGTAGTTCAACAGAAATAGCCCCAACCCCCAAAACTTTAAAGAGAACCCTCAAGCCTCAAAGCCCTAAAGCTCAAACCCATTCCTAAACCCTAAACCCTTAAACCCTTAAACCCTTAAACCCTTAAACCCTTAACCCCTAAACCCTTAAACCCCTAAACCCTAAACCCTTAAACCCCTAAACCCTAAACCCTAAATTCCTTGGGCCATGGCCACGGGAGCCTTCGACTTCCGCAACAACCTCCGCTACTGCACGGAAGCTCGGCTATGAGGGTCCTTGGAGGATCATGGCACTTAGTAAGTAAGGTTGTAAGTACTTTTAATAAGGGTACTATATAGGGTTCTAGAATAGGGTTCCTTAAAGGAATCTATAGGGTTCTATAATGGGGATCATGGGACTTAGTCAGTAAGGTTATAAGTACATTAATCGGGATTATAAGTAGTTATAAGTATAGTTACCCTAATTATAACCCTAGTTACTAAGTCCCATGATCCTTTAAGTAGAGGCTTAGTAGGATTCGGGGGTGAGGGTTTGAGGTTTAGGGTAGAGGCTTACAGGGTCTAGGGTTTCAGGGTTTCAGGGTTCAGGGTTATGGGATCTGGGGTTAAGTTTCAAAGGTTTAGGGTTCGGGTGTGGGGTTGATGGTTTAGTTTAGCTTCTCGGTTTCAAGGTTAGGGCTTGGGAGGTTTGTGTTCGAGTTTTGAGGGTTTAGAGATTGGGAATTCGGACATGTTGCTATCGTGGACTTGGGTTTTGGGGTGCGGAGAGTTCCGTTTGGAGGCATGAGAAGCTTAGGTACGCGGTTTACACCTGGGAAGGGACTTCGGGCTGTTGAAGAGTAGGGGTTCAGGGTTCAAATCCAGAGACTCCAAAACCCTTTAGTTCAGGAGTAAATATACCTTAATTGTGTCGTATCAAGGCTTTAAGTATTTTGTCTAAAGGTGTATTCCTTAATTAAGTTGCTTTGGAGTCTCTGGGAGCGCAGGCCGTGAAGTGTAAGGGCCTTGTAGTCTGCTTTCCGAGGTAGCAAGGTCCGGCATGCCTACAGGGTTGTTCTCTAGATTAGGGTCCTGCTTATAAGCGTGCGTGGGGACCTATAAACAGGGACCCTGATTTGGAGAACTACCCACGCGACAAATCTACGAGCACGCTTGCCTCGGGATGTATGGACGACGAAACTCCGAAGTGTTTAGCACCGTATACATTAGTAAGCTTGCACTCTTCAAGCTTCGACGCCAATGTCAGGAAGATTTCGTGGTCGGGCAACAGGTGTATGTACAGCCTCTCAGATTCCAAGCTCCCTGGTGCTCAGGAGGCGGACTTGTCAAAAGACTTGTCTGGACGCGCAGCTGCCTGGCATCTGAAAAATTCAGCCCAGAATCATGAATTCTTATTTCAACCCCAAACCAGACATCCAAAATCCTTCATCGGAGCCTCCACAGAATCTATGTTCCTTCATGAAGCTCAGCAGCACTACAAGCAGCAGCCACCCCAGCGCAGAAAGCCCTACAGCTAGGGCAACATGCGACCCGGAGTATGTATCTCCCAGATGTATTGTAGACCCCGGACTGATAAGCCCACCTCCCTTAAGAAGGATGAGACTCTTAATAAAGAAAGAGGTTCACTAATCGGTGCTTTCTTGGAGGAGCTGTGGACCGGACTTGTTCGGAAATCATCGAAATGCCACTTCATCCATGCACACGCATCCCAGTATGCCGGCATTAATGATTAGGTCTTAAACACAGGTGTGGGGTATTTTGTCATAACATGGGGGTTGCAAAAGGATGTTGTAATGTAGAACAGAGGTGTGGGGTATTTTGTTGTACTGTAACATGGGGGTTGAAAGAGGGTGTTGTTGCTAAATACTCAGACCCCGGTATGAACGAGGATTAGACATTCTTCCGTAAATCCCGAGCGCTGATAATCCTTGATGCCCAGATGGAGAAGCCGCCAGCTGCTAGGAGCTAAATGTTGTACCGTGTAAACTCGAAATTCCCAACCAAAATCTGTGCTGGTCACTACCTGAGTTCTTTGTGCGTGTTACGTGTCTAGTGGCATGCTATGTATCTTCAATCGAACCTGTTTGTGTCGAGTTGTCCGCCCAGATGCTGAGGCGGTCGTCACCGGTGCTAGCAGCGGGATCGGACGTTGCGCCACCTTGGTCGCAGATGTGGCGGTCGTTGGGTTGGGTTGATCTTGGTTTAGGTTAAGGGTTTAGGGTCAGCCCCCTAACTGGACCCTACAGACCCTGACTCCAGAACAGCCTACACTTTGGAAGAGGGTCCTAGAAAAGCAGAAAACTGCTAAGTTGGAATTTCCCGAGTTTCGCATCAGGTAGATCGAATGTTAGGTGGAATGGTTTAGGCAGATCCCTATATATAGCTCTAGAGACGCACGTCCGAAAACCGATCTCTTGAGTCCTGGATGCCCTGCATCAAACATGTCCTGCAGAAAATGTGCAGTACCAACCGAGTCGCAACTTTGAATGCCTTTGCAGTGAGGGTGTCGATTTCTGATGGCCGTTCTTGTTTTGGCATGCTGATGATTTCCACTTTACGTCGGGTTCATAACATCTAGAATCTAGAAAGATAGCCTGAATATGGCACAGCCGACAGCAAAATGTTGATTGCCCACCCCCGCTGGATCCAAGGTTTCAACCCAGCTCGTCCGGCAGGGTTGCAGCTTGGCATACGTGCGTTGATGGTTGCAGCACCAATACTTGGAGGATCATGGGACTTGATAAGTAAGGTTATAAGTACCTTAATTGGGGTTATAACTATAGTTGCCTTAATTATAACCCTAGTTCATAGTTCCCATGATCCTTTAAGTAAGTAGTGACCCTAAGCCCAAGCCTAGTGCGAAGAATCGTGATCGCCAGGTCGGGGCTGTTCTTTCGGGTGCGAGTGTACTGAACACCGAGACCTTTGAGGTGAGACGAGTAATTAGCTTAGTAGCCTCGGGCTTAGGGCTTAGGGTTTAGGGCTTAGGGCTTAGGGCTTAGGGTTTAGGGTTTAGGGCTTAGGGTTTAGGGCTTAGGGTTTAGGGTTTAGGGCTTAGGGTTTAGGGCTGTGTGAATATCACCTCGAAACTTACATGTGCAGCTTGAGTGCGTGCCTTTTGTTATGCATTGAGCTAGGTAATCAGCTGATGTACAGTTGTATATGTTCTGCTGTTGCCGTTGTGACTCGAAGGGCCCTTGAGCTAAAGGCGAAAAAGTAGCAGCCAGTGCGCCGTTGTACGCCTTTAAATCCGCGTTGTGGAATTGGCGCAAGCTGACCAGGGGAGATCCCTGTACTATCCTGCAGGGAGGCTGGACTGGCATGACATTTGCGTCGTAACATTTTCGGACGCAAGCTTCGCTCAGGAGCCAGGTTTCAGGAGCCAGCGGGGCAGGCTGCATTACATCACGACGCAGAGCGCATCGGACTCCAATGTCCACGTGGCTCATGTCTTGAGTTACGGCTCCACAACCATCAAAAGAGTGTGTCGCAGTACATTGGCATCGGAAACGTTCGCAATGCAAACGGCAGTGGAGAACGGAGACCGCTTGAGAGCAGTCATTTGTGAACTTCGAGGCCAGCTGCCAACACTGAAAGGTTGGTTGGAGGAATCGCAAAAGAAAATGAGACATCTGTGGATCACGGACTGTAGGAGTCTTAGTGACCATCTTAGTGACCATCTCAATAGCACCAAAGTCAACAAAGTCGCAGACAAAAGGCTTGCTATAGAGCTAACGGCCATGAGACAACAATTATGGATTGAAGAAGTGGAATTATGGAAAGTCCTGTCTCCGTGCGGAGACTAAATAAGATGGACAGACACAGCGACGCAACTAGCTGATGCTTTGACAAAAAGCCTCAAGCCGTTTCAGCTGTTTAAGTTGATGGAGGAGGCGATGGTCCAACTGTCGGAGCCACATGCAAGTTGTCGAAGGACGAGGTGCTAGCGTTACAGCAGTCGTGAGCCGCAGTGCATGTTTGTACAGTTGAATGCTACGAATAGTGATCTAGTTTTTCACCGGAAATTGCAGTCTGGTAGAACGCCTACGGAATGTACAGATTTTGTTTGGAAGGCTCCCATAACATCGCGAAGCGATTGAGCCCCCGGCACGCATCAATAAGTAAGACGGGTGTGAATATCACCTCGAAACTTACATGTGCAGCTACTATGTGCAGCTTGAGTGCGTGCCTTTTGTTATGCATTGAGCTAGGTAATCAGCTGATGTACACTTGTATATGTTCTGCTGTTGCCGTTGTGACTCGAAGGGCCCTTGAGCTAAAGGCGAAAAAGTAGCAGCCAGAGCGCCATCTATGGCTGCTGCAGAAAGTCATGTGCGCTCGTTGCAAGAAGTTACCACAAGCTCGCACCTGCCTAAACCCTTAACTCTGAACCCCCCAAACCCCTAAACCCTAAACCCCTAAACCGTAAACCCCCACCCCTAAACCCCTAAACCCCTAAACCCCTAAACCCCTAAACCCTTAAACCCCTAAACCCCTAAACCC